ATTGTAGTTTGCGCTTGACCACTGATCATTGCTCTTCTTTCATGGAGTCCTCTGCAAACCTGCGTGACTTTGACCATGACAATGACGTGGACATCTCAGATGGTAAGGGGGTTGTCTCCAATGCCAACGTTGCGTTGCGGAGACTCAAGCGCCGCCAAGTGATTATCGACCTCATTGCCAAGTTTAGGGTGGAGTCCAAGGCGATCCCTGATTCTCTGAGACAGCTAGGGTTTGAAGTGTTTAATGATAGCCTGTGTGACAACATGTCCAAACGAACCTTTGAAAAACATATGTTTTTGGTCAGGAGTCTGCTCAGGGGCTGACCTTGCCCTAGAGCTTGTGTGTGTGTGTGCCGAAAGTGGTAATTCGAATGGTCCTGGGGCCATTGCCAATTAATTTAGAGTGGGCTCATCTCATTGACTGCCGTGAAAGAAACGGGTTCAATTCAAATCCTGGAGCATTGAAGGTTGAAACGCCCAACTGTGTTTTTTGTCAGGAATCAACACTGTGTGTGGGTATTGGCCACTCATGTGAATGGCCACTCATGTGAATGCTAGACTCTGACTCTGACTTAGACTCTGACTTGTTTGTTATGAGTTTGAAGATTTGAAGAAGGTGTTTGTTCAGTTCAGGAACGTCACCCCTGTCCAAGCATTTGGCTTGAAACATCAGGCTGGAGTGACTTAAACTGAGTTGCAGGGTATCCAGCGCTGTTTTCAGCAATGGGCCGTGGTCGTTCTGGTGCTAAGCGTCCTCGAACAGGCCCAGCCATGATGAATCCTATGATGAACCCAATGATGAATCCGATGTTTGCAGCCATGATGAATCCAGCCGCCATGATGAATCAGTATGGAATGGCTGCGGCTGGAGTGGGTGGAGGCGAAGAGGATTCTTCATCAGATGAAAGGACAGAACCTGTGGCCAAAGCCTCTGGTGCGCCACCGTTGCAAGACGCTTCTTCAGGTCACCCATCAAGTGCTGCTCCTGCTGCGCCTCTACCTTCAAATCCTCAACAATATGCCATTGAGTCTTTGAGGACTCAGGGGGGACTGAGAAGAAGATCCACAGGGGCGCGGCGATGATCCGCAGTCTTCCAAAGGACAGATTCAAATTTTGACTGTGCACATCTGTTTAGTTTAAAGCCAAGTCAAGATGCACAGAGTTTTTGGTTGTGCTGAATGGCTTTGCAAACCATGTGCTGTTTGTGTCAAAATGTGAATCATCTTCAATTGTTTTGTTGCAACTCTCACACCCTGCAGAAGCGACTTTCAGAGCTTGTGGAGGCAGTGGATGGCATCTTTGACCCTACGGTCACAAGTGATTTGAGCTTGGCTGGCCTGTGTCGAATGATTTGGCTACTGGCGAAACAGAAACCTCAGGTATGTGTGAGCCGACTTCGATGTGAAGACTATGTGGAGCTAAACACAAGGCTCCACCAAAGGCATGTTCAGATTGTGGCTTCTTGTCAGGATGTTCAGGCAGCAGTTCAAGCCATGAAATCAGAGGTCATTCTCTCAGATGGTTTCATTGCAGCTCTTGCGGAAGCTCAGGGATGGCAAGATGAGTGGATGACAATTCAGGAACCTAAGGCACGGGGAAGAGGTCCAAGGGCAACTGCGGCTGATAGTCAGCGTGATGCTGATACCAGTCGCCGTATCCCAGAGATGATGCAGGCAGCAGCTGTCTTGCAAAAGGCCCCTCCTGCCAGACCACCGGCAGTGCTTTTTGCGCCTCCAGCTGGCGGAAGTGCAGTTCGTCATGGTGGCGCCGCAATGCCTGTCCCGCCACCTCCGCGCCCAGCGGCGCATCCCAAGGTAGCTCCCCGTCCTCCTGCTGGTTTGATGGGCCCTGAGGTGGCCACTCCTGCTCCTGGGCTGTGATCTATCGGAATCTATCGGGTTTGTGACTTTGACTTGCCAGACTAGATGTGTGAACAATTGAAGTTGGTTTATAATTAGAGTAAATAGCAAGACTTCCTCTGGTGGCATTTGAGCAGTGTTATATGTGTGTAGTCAGCAGTCTTTTGTCTTTGGTATTGGGTTGATTGGTTGAATGTGGACCCACTCAGGAAGCAGCAAACACTGTCGATGAAGATGCAAACGGTGATGGGAATGGAGGAGATCAAAATGCAGGTGATCAAAGCGTGCCTGATGATGATGCCCAGGTGCCCATTCCTGATCCTGAGAGCGAAGGTCCTGCTTGTGCAATTTGCCGGGAACCCCTTCAATCGCCAGAGCAGGAGGTTCAAATGCTGGAGTGTGGACATGCATGGCACAAGCGGTGCTTGGAGAACACATGGCGCGTTGGGGGGCACAACAGGGGATGGTGTCCCTACCGCTGTGATGTTCGCGCCGCAGCGCAGCAGGTTCAGCAAGCCAATGCGGCTCCTGTTCACCAGGGGCAAGGAGGTGGTGGACAGCAGGAAGCCCCCGCGGCTGAGATCGTCTTGTGAGCCAAAGCCTGATGAGCGGTGAGTGGTTGTTGTTGCATTTTGAGAAGGGCAGTGGAAGCATAAGTGTGTTGTTGCCTGATGCCAAGGGATGAGTGGATAGAACTGACCACTAGTGAACGAACTGACCACTTGTGACTTAGTGAACTGAACTGACCACTAGTGAACTAGTCCACTCTGTGTGGCCGTGACAATGCCGGCTTCATGCCCGAACAGGCCTTGCAACCATCGCCTTACAAAGCATAGAGCATAATTAGAGAAGCAGAAAAAGCGAGACAAAATGAGACACAATGAGACAAAATGAGACACAATGAGACACAATGACACAAGGAGTTTTTCCTCATTTTTGCTCATTTTTGCTCATTTGAGACAAAATGAGAGTCACCCAGGCAAGTTTTTCCTCATTTTTGCTCGTTTTTGCTCATTTATGCACATTTATGCAGGTGAGGTGTAGCGCAGAACTAGTTTCACTGGAAACAAGAACTGTGTAATCGGTGTCCATTGGAACGTAATGGCGGCAGCAAATGCAAGCACGCATCTGCTGCAACTCCAGCGGCAAATCCGTGTGCTGCAAGAGCGGAACGCAGTCATTGAGGAGAAGTTCAAGGAAACAAGTCAATGTGTGGACCTCGAATCATTGGCAGGAGTAAGTGAATTTCCACTGGATCAAGATGGGGCTGTGACTGGCAGTGATGCGGATCAGGTGGAACAGTGGTCACAAGAGCTCAGGTGCTTCTTTCACATCGATGATCAAAATGGCGGCAGAGCCAAAAGAGTTTGGCAAAAGTTCTTCACTGTGGCCTTTCCGTTTATGCTTGGCTGGCCAGTGGAAACCATGCTCATCGCCATTTTGATGAGGACTGCTCACCACAGGCGCCGGGGTGCTTCAACATTGCAATATCTTGAGCTCTTTTGTGGCCGTGGCAATTTGTCCCGGGCGTGCATTGCTGCTGGGCTGCGGGGTGTGTCATTGGATGTATGCGTCAATGAGAACCACGATGTCCTGTCGGCCAGTGGCTTCCGCCTACTATTGCTGGCTCTGACAGCTAGTGTGGTAGGTGGTTTGGTGTGGGTAGCGACCCCATGCAGCAGTTTCGTGGTTCTGTCAGCATCGGTGTGCCGGCGAAACGCCAGCAATGGCTTCCTGGGGGACACAAATAGGTTCTGCGTGGAACAAGGAAATGTCCTAGCAGATATCTCAGGACTTGTATTGCTGCTTGGGTTCTTCTTGGGCCTTCACGATGGATTGGAACAGCCAGGAAGCAGCTGCCTTCCCAGCACGCCAGTGGTCAGTAGTGTCCTCAAGTTCATTGGCGCTCGCCGCACTGACACGTACCACTACTGTTTCGGAGGACCCACACTCAAGCCACTTCAACTCTGGTCTCGTTCTGAGTTCATGCTTTGCATGGAGCGCTCTAGGCCGGCTGTTGTGACAGCTGAATCTTCATCATTAGCATCGAGAGGTGAAGATGGCTCTTTCACAGGTCGAAAAGATCTCCTGCATGAAAGCCAGGAATACACCTTGCAATTCGGACAATGTGTTGTCAATGCTCTGCTGCAGGAATGGCGTCGTAGTAGTGGCAATAGAGTGTAGCGACGTGTAGATTTGATTTTGAGAGACTCAATTCGCTTGCCCTGACTTGAGCAGCGCTTAATGACTTTGACATTCGACTTATAGTTGTCTGCGTAAAAATGGTGCAGTATGCGACTGAGGGTTTCAACCTGTTTGACATCATGTTGATGATGATCTTCATGTTTCAATGAGGTGAGCATGTCGTGTGTGCTTCTTGTCTGACCAGCTCAGGCGATCTTTTCAGGCTGGTAAGCTTTTCAGGTGAACTGTTCTGACCCATTTTGACCAAACCATTCATTGTCGTTTCACAGCTGTGATTTTGTTCAGTAGCATGTAAGTGTGTAAGTTTGAAGAGCCACCTGGAGGTTTGATATGTATTTATAATTCTGTTTGTTTCTTTGTGTCAAGTCAGCAGACAGCAGGTAGTTGAGTTTACTCCCGGTGTTTGGCGACAACCTCAGACTCAAGACTGAAGACATGAACTCAAGAGACGAGACACTGATTCGCTTTTTGTCATCATTATGTTAGTCATTCTATTGCCAAATGAGCTTATAGTTGTGAAGGGATGAATCATCACTAGTTTCTAGTAAGTACGCCAATGGTCTAGAGCCTAGAGTCATACTTGTTGTTTGCAGTGTTGACAAGGCCTTGGTCAGCTTGTCGGTTTCAGCCTCAACCTCTCTGGAATCTTGATTCATAACTGTGAGAACGACAAGTGTACAATCACATGCTCTTTTGACAAACGTCTTGGTGCTCTTTTGACAAATGTCTTGGTGCTCTTTTGACAAACGTCTTGGAATGCAATGCAAATTGGTTCATGTCATGTTTGTTGCTTGCTCAAGATTACTGGAAATTTAAACCACTTCATGGACATTCTGTGTGACTCGATGCTTCACATTCCAAAGTATTATCAATTCAAGTGTACTCTAATTGCCAAGAACAGTGAGTCATCTCACCCTGGTTTTATGTCACTGTGGCATGGGCGAGGATAGGTTGCTTGTGCATGAGCGATGCCAGCGTTTGACACTAGATGAAGACAATGCTCTCCTTTCGAAAGCTGGATACCTGGTGACGCAGGATGATGGACCACAACAATTGTGGTGGTCTGCAAACTTCTTGTATGACAAATTCAAAGCTGATGGAGATGAGAAAAGAACACTTCATAAGTGGATGGTATACTTCAAGCAAAAGGTTTCTGACAGTGACCTTTGTGGTGATGCGTTTTTTTGTCACACGCGATCAGCAACCCTACCGCAGCATGCCTTGCATGACAATGTGATGACCACAAGATCGATTGTGGCTTTCCTCTGCTCTTGCTTGGTAGAATCAAGAACAGCAAAGACGGTTCAAATGGTGAAAGATTGGGTCCCATCTCTTTGCAGCAGATTCTGCTCAATGTTGACTCACTCGGTCAGCATTGACATTGAAGGCTTGCCTCCGCTGATGTTGTCGCCAGCAGGCTTGGTAAAAGGACTTGAGAACACATTGAGTTCTCAGCATCGCACTTGCTTTACAGCGTGGCAAAAGGAATGGCAAGCTATGTTTGACTGCGGTGACTTGAAGGATTCTTTATATAGCGAATCAGATTCAACGGTTTCCCTCCAAGAGCTGCTTCTGTTCATTTTTGGAGTTGAGAGGCGAAGGAGAGGGTCTGGTGGCCATGTTTGGGCTAAGAATAGCCCCAGTGGATCTGCGTTGTATAAATTGCAAAGAGCCGTTGTGGAGTATTTGGCCAATGGTGTCGAGTTGTACGTGCTACATGAATATGTCCCGCGACACAACACATTGAAGGCAATACCATCGAGACGGCTTGCAAATGCTCCAGATGCTGCTGGTGTACTTGATGGACAAGTTCGGCCAAAGCCATCTGTCAGGGTGCAAATGACCCCAGATGCCATTTATGCAATATTATCTCGAGCCAGAGAAACCAGTGTCTCCATGAAAGGTGCCCTTGACCTACTGCAAGAAGAGAACATGTCTGCTATGGCAGGCTGCAAGCCAACAGCTGTGGATCCATGGGTCCGCAGGGCTCTGTGCATTTACGATCAACGAGCTACACTGTCCTTAGTGGGTGTGAACCATTTCAACCTGGTTGCAGATGCGTCTACACATTCTGGAAAGGAGGTTTTGGTATCGATCTGCTACTCGCACCAATCTGACTCTGCCTGCTTCGCAAACATTCAGCAAATACTACCATTGACGCAAGTGGCTCCAGGTGAGATGGAATTCACGTCGCTGGTGGAACAATTAGCAAAGGACAGCTTGTCGTCACTAATTTAATTGTTAAACATTCAGGCCAGTTTACACACTAACAACTAATCTAAACATAACATGTGCATGCTGGTCAATCAATGTGATGCTACTACTTTGCAATTTGACTAGAGACTTTAATTTAGGTCAGTTGATTGTTTTTTGACTTGCGCTGCAGGAAAACAAGCTGTTACGGGTTGCGTCGTACCGTCAGCTGCAAGCGATGAGTCAACAACTGAATTTGCTGAGTGGAGGACACATAGCCAACTTGGATCACTTCTCACTCCCAGCTGGTGTTGTTCTGAAAGCTGTGCCTCATGGTTCAGCTCGCTTCACTGAAAGACATGACAGTGGTCGTGTTCGAGCTGGCTTTGCTGCGGCCAATGGGGAACGTGAGATGCTCTTACCTGAAGCAAGGAGTTGGTGGTTAGATGTGCCTCTACTTGTACTTCAGCTTGACCAAGGACCAACTTGTTGCGGGGGTGCTGCGTTGCTGTGTTGCAGTCTACAATTTTCAATTGTGACAGTGACAGTGACATTCTAATTTCCTGGAAGCTGGATGAATGACAATGAATCCCATCACAGATCACATCAAAATATCTAATGGCAAAGTTAACATCAATTACACAAGTCATGGTCAAAGTTACACGGACCAACTCAGGTTTGCCATTGGCAAGATGGACAAATTGATCATTGCCAAATGGGATGTGATACACAGAGCTATCCGTGATGTCAAACTTGCGTTATTGCATGGAGCTGGTGGCGAGTTCTTTCAAGCACAGTTCCATTCGCAATATCTCTTTTCAATGGCCTACAAGCCATTTGGGAACTCTGGCTTTTTTGAAGACAAGAAGAGATTGTTGGAACTTATGTTATCCAAAGAGAGCTTTGATTCTTGTCCACTCTTTGACGAGTGTTGGGAGAAGATCCGCCAGGAGGTCGGTATGGAACCTTCATCCACGAAGAAGGAAGTCTGGGACACACTCCCGCTGCTGCCTGGCTTTAGCACCAAGCAGACCATGCCCAAGCTTAGCAGATGGTTTAGTTGGAACGAATCTGCGCAGGAGAATGTTCCAGAATGGTCAAGCTTAAAACTCTGCTTAGCCTACCACTTTGACGATTTGAACTTGGACCCAGACAAAGCATATGCAGAGCGTCAACAGAAGCAGTCCAACAATGATGGAACCAAATCGGCGACCAACATGAGGAAAGAGTTTGGCAGGCTGAAAGAAAAGGTCGGAGGCGGTTTAAAGCTTTGCTACCACATAATGTCGGAGAAACTCTTGCAGATGGTCAGGATTATTTTGATGTGTACCCGTCCAATTTGGAGTTGGTATTCGCATGCCATCAAAGAGATCAGACATGCTGATCATCAGGTTGCCAAACTCGTTAGTTTGCAACGGGAGTGGGTGTCCGAACGGCATTTGAGAAGGCTTGCTGCTTTACCTACCTCGAACCTGGAGGAGCTCCAAGTGGTTTTGAACATGGGCATCTCTGACACAGTGCCCAAGGTTTTGGAGTTGAGCCAACTCTTGCTGAAACACCGCCTCTGGTCACTGTCCAAGTCAGCAGCACCTCCGGATTGCTACGCTGGTTTGCTTTCAGCTGACCGGGATCTGCAAGAGGCAGGTTGGTTATTGTTCATCAGTCATTGACATTTTTTTGGCGTATTTAAATACTTATATTTAATAATGTATATATACCACTGAATTTGCTGTCACTGTCACTGTCAAGCCTTTTTAATATGTCACTGTCAGACTGTCCTATGCCATTGAACTGTCACTGTCATATGAGTCATATATATATATATATGTGTGTGTTTTTGTGTGTCACAGTGTCACACAGTCACTGTCACTGTCAACTCTAGGGGGCCCAACTACAATGCTGCTGTTTGACTACCTTCTTTTTTAAGCTGAGTTGTGGAGTATCAGCAGTCTTTTGTGTGATTGAGTGTTCTTTCTTTTTGAGTGCAGGCTGCAGCTTCATTGCTGGCTGCTGATCACCGCTACTTGCTTCAGCTGGAACAGGTTGCAGCCACCAGCACGTCCACACCAAAGTTGTTGACTGACCTGAATTTGGTTTTCACATCGCCAATTCGATTGCTCTTTCTGGCGTTTGAAGAATCTTCCTACAGCTCCCAAAGCCCTGGCGGAATACATCTTCTTCGTGGAATGTTGAAAACATTGCCAGATTCCAAGATTGTCGAGGACATACATGGGAAATTGAAAAGAAACGCAAAAAAAGGATCCAACAGAAAGCAGTCACTTGGAGCACTGCAAGAGCTGGTTACTTCATCGTCAGTGTTTGAAACCCGAGAGATCAACGACAAGGCCTTTGTGACGAAGGAAGTCTTCATGGAAGCTTTTCCCAGGACCAAGGATCGCAAGCGGAAGAGGCTGGAATAGTGTGTTTCATTGTCATGTTCACTTTGCTTGAAATCATTACATATGATTATTTTTGATGAATGAAACTGTAGCATGAAAAATATGTCCTTGAGGCGGTATTTGGCTCGCTTGCATCGGCTACCAAAGGAATGGTCTGAGATGATGGCAAGGAAGACTTGGGCAACCATCAGTGAAGAGACATTGCATCAAGGAACAGCTGCATTGTGTTTTCTCCGGAGTTACATGAAGGACAACATGGGCCGACAGGGAATCCGCATATCGCATGGATGTTTCAGCAAGTTTGCCGTGGAGCTGTGCCTCATGATCAGATCTGCTGGTGATGGATTCCCGGAATATTTGGGCTTTTGTCTCGGCAATGCTTTTTGGAGCTCATTGTTTTGGCCAGTTTGCCTGTATCAAGATGGCGACTTTGAAGGATTTTTTTTGGACCCGCAGGGAGAAGCAGAGTGGGTGCATGTGGTCAATCCGCAAGCATGGACTGTTCTGGTTCACGATGCAGTTTTGTGTGGGAATCAGATTCTCATGGTGGTCAACTCACGTGTGCCATTGTTGCATTTCTTTTTGGAAAAGGCATCTCATCGGAAAGCTTTGACCATTTCAGACTTGACATCGCTGGCTGAAGTTTTAAGCCTGGGCAGGGATCAATTTGATCCCAAGAAAATGAACCGCGAGACACTTCTCAAGGCCATTATCGATCATGTTGGCGTCAATGATCCAGATTGGCTTTCCAAAGTCAAGGATTCTATGGACAAACCTGTCCCGGAAAAGCAAATTGGAGATTGTTTAGACGAACTGCTTATGGCTGAGTTGCCCCAGGAGGATCAGCGTGAGTTCAAAGAGATCAGTGAAGAAATCGACAACAAAAAAAAGATGTGGCTGGAATCTGGTTGAACAAAGATGGAAAAAGGCAACTGCTAAGCGGAAAGCGAGGGCAAAAGCTAAACAGAAAGCCAAGGCAAAACCCAAAGCTGGTGCCATGGCAAGGCGCTGCAGGAAACGTAAACAACCTGAGGCTGAGGTTGTGCCGCTGGACCCTGTTGTGCCCTTGGAGCCTGTTGCGCCTTTGGAGCCGCTGCCTGAACTCGATGCTCCTGATGCTGAGATGGTTGAGGTTGCACCTCCTGAGGCCCGACTTGATGCTCCTGCTGAGGCTTTGCATCCTCAACCTGATGCTGAGATGGTTGACGCTGCACCTCCTGAGGCCCGAGTTGTGGAAGCAGAAGCTGAAGCTGAGCCACTTGAACAAGCTGCTGAAGCACCTGCCCCTGTTGATGGTGAACTGCCTCTTGCTGATCCAGCTCCTCGTCCTGCTGCTGCAGGTCGGGTCATCGCTGGAAGGCGAGATGAGGTCATTCTGTGGTCTGACATCTTTTGCGAACACTGTGGTGATCACTGTGGGCAAATAAAGCTTGATCCGCATCCAGGAAACAGAGATGAACCCACGTGGGTGATGAGGGTCCAGAATGAACATGGAGTTTGGCCTCAAAAGGGAGGGCTGTTTCGCAGGCGAATTGCAAGATTGATTGGAGATGGACCAGAAGGAGCCACTAAGTGGGTCATGCATATGCGCAAGTGTTGCGATGTTGGGAAATGAAAAAAAGCTCAGTTGAAACTGCGGTCCTTTTCTGTGTTTGCCATGACACGTTTGTTTGTACAAACATGCACAGTCATTTACATGATTCAAATTTCATTTTGATTCTGAGGTTGAGATTTGCTGCAAGTGAGATTTGTGCCGTCTGAGCAGACTTTTTGAGATTGCTTTATTTATCTAAATGAAT